ATATAGACACACATGTACACAAACCTACACATGCACACAATATTCATTTTGGACATTTGTAATCCAGGCATTATAAATAATTCCTATCCACTTTTTAAAAAGTGCGTTATGTCCATCTAAACAGTACACAACTGCTTACAGTGCCTTCTTTTACATTCCCTTGGTAATATCTATAGTAGCTACTTCACAGGAGGCAGCCGCCCATCACCGCCACTACAGAATTTACAAACATATGGTGTCACTTTGCCATGCCAACTTCTAGGTATTCACTCTGCATTTTGACAAAAGAAGAAAGCTAAGCACAGAACTGTCTTTCAGATCATCATTTATGAGCTTCTTAAACATGGTACACTGTTGGTCAGGTTTTGATTTTGGTCATAAATTATCACTACCAACACGTTATATTTAGATTCACAGCAGTACCAGAAAAATACACCTATAAATAATACACTATCTTTTCACATAGTCCACTTAAAGCCTCATCTTTTAACTGGGACAATTGTTGGAATGCCCCGGAACTCTTTTTTCCAGTAAAAGTAAAACCAAAGTAATTATCTATCAGAATTATCCAGCAATGGCACCTTCGGCCTCTGCTCCTTTCCTGTTGGTCTTCTGAGCTAAAATACTTTTTTTTTTTTCAGCTGGAACCACATAGAAAGACTGTGAACAATCTGGCATTCAGATTTATCAGCTCACATTTCTCTCCTTCATATTCTTTATGAGGTTAGTACCTAAACGTATATATTGCCCATGTACTCCCCCCTTGTCTGCGGTTTAGCTACCTGTGGTCAACCATGGTCCAAAAATATTAAATGGAAAATTCCAGAAATAAATAATTCATGTTTTGAATTGTGTGCCTTTCTGAGTAGCATGTTGATCTCATGCCACCCCCTTCCATTCCTTGTAAATCGCCCCTTGTCCGGCGTGTCCAGGCTGTACATGCCACCTCTCCATTAGTCACTTAGTAGTGCCTAGGTTATCAGACTGACAGTCATGGTATCACAGAGCTTATGTTCAAGTAATACTTTTACTTAATAATGACCCCAAAGCCATTTGCATAACTTAAAATTGTTCTACTTTATTTTTATTTATTGCTGTTAATCTTTACCGTGCCTAATTTATAAATTAAATTTTACCATAGGAATGTATGTGTAGGAAAAACAAATTACATATAGGGTTTGGTACCATAAATGGTTTCAGGCATCCCCTGGAAGCCTTGGAACTTGTGCTGTGGATCAGAGAGGATCCCTGGACTTGATAGATGCCCTAAGGGATGTAGGCCTCTCTCAACTCAAACAGAAATAACCCTGGCTAAGAAGTACACTTATGTTCTCAGGAGGCTAGGGTTCTGTTTTTCACGTTAGAATATCTCTGGCTGGTGTTGCTTATTTAAAAGATAGGATTTGGAATCAGAATGCCCCGTGCTTCAGTCCCCACTCTTTCACCTATTTGCACAGTGCTTTAGGAAAATTACAAAACCTCTCTGAGTCTGTTTTCCCTTCTAAGAATGAGGATGGTTACCCTTATGTTGTTAGGGTTATTAGGAGAATTTAAAATGACTTAAGAACAGAAAAGGAAATTTAGGTAAAAACTAAGAAGATCTGACTAAACTATATATTTTAGTTAATAGTAAGTATCAATATGGGTTCTTTATTGTAACAGATGTACCATATTACAGAAAGATGTCAAAAATGGGGAGAAACTAGGTGAGGGGTATATCGGAACTTTCTGTACAATTTTCTCAATTTTTTAGTAAATCTAAAACTTCTTTAAAAAAATGCAGTCTATTTTTAAATATAATCTAAGTGAAGTGCCCTGCACATAGTAGGTGCTTGGAAAGTGGTTGCCAGTATTATAAATATAGACTCTTTGGTTTTGCAATGTGCATCATATGCAGTATAATATGATCTTATTTTATCCCCAGCTTTATTGAGATAATTGACATATAACACTGTCTAAGTTGAAGGCACACAGTATGATGATTTGATATGATCTCTTCTTTTCCCCAATTCAGCAACTCTTTTTCATAGGCAGTTTTCTTTCTCTCCCTCCATGTCACTCTATTCTCTTTCTCTACATCATTCTTCATAGCTATTTCTAGTTCATCCATGTCCAGTCTACTACAAACTCATAATTAGTTTACAACTTGTTTATATTTCTCCAAGACTAATTTCAGTTCATCAATCTTATCTGTTGGCTTGGAATTTTACCACAGTAATTATGCAAATTTTTTAGTTACTTTCAATGATGGGTCATTTAAAAAATTTTTTAAATATTTTTAATTGATTTTAGAGAGAAAGGGAGCAGGATAGAGAGATGGAAACATGGTTGAGAGAGAAACATCAATCAACTGCCTCCCCTAAGTCCCCTACTGGAGAATCAAGCCTGCAACATGGGCATGTGCCCTGACCAAGAGTCAAACTGGGGACCTCCTGGTTCATGGGTCAACGTTCAACCACTGAGCACCACCTGCTGGGGTCCTTTTTTAAATTATCATTTCATTCAAAGTTCCAAGCTTCCTACTGGGAGAAAAAAATGGCAAAACATCCTAATCCAGAAAGACTCTAGCAATGGAAAAGTTTGGCTTTTCTTGTAATAAGATAGATACCCAGCTTCCTAAGTCAGCCAACAGTCCTGAGGCAGCTTTGCTAGGATGTGTATTAGCACTAATTTGTTGCAATAACTAAAAATAGTTTGACCAAATACCAGTGTTATCAATCCGTTTTGTGGTCTCTCTGATGTTAAGGTCATGTGTAAAAACAAAACTCACTTGCTCCTCAAAAGCACAGCTTTGAATGGATTCAGATAAAAGGTACAATCAGATGAGAAGACTCGAGCCTCCTGATAATCTCTCCCAGGTGGCTGACTGCTGTTTAGAACTGGGTCTCTGGGAGAACAGATTTCTCTCGTTCCAGTGCTGGATGTCAGCATCTATCTAAAGGACAGCCCAAGAGCCTTTTGGTTGATAAAGGGAAGTTTGTTTCTTATTTTTTCTGTAAATCACAACAGTTTTCATTGCCAAATAACCAGGACATCTTTGGTTGTTGGTGATTTATTAATGGGATAGATTTTAAAGATGGAGTTTCCCCTGCTATAAAGACAGTTACCATAATAATTCCAAACTGAAACCTGAAATATCAGGCCCCATGTGTGGACCCATCACCCAATGTTAAAAGAATATCCAAGAAACTTTTACTGTTCTGAGGATACTTTTGCTCTACTGTAGTCCAAAATACGGGTGGAAAAAGCAAGGAGCTAGTGATGGGGGCGGAGAATGGAGTGTGTAGTCCACCTGCTATTTCTCAACCAGGAAATGAGTTTTATTTTTAATAAAACTGGTACGCAAGCTTGAGCTAGCTGAAATAAATCATCAGTGCTGGCGGGTGTGTGTACATATGTAAGCAAAGCAAACAGAAACCTGGGCTCACTCAAGATAAGGGTGGATAAATATAGGAAAACCTCAGACTCTACTACAGCAACATAAAATTCAGCGTTAACTGGCAGCAACCAGAAATTCACTATTTTAAGAAACTGGTCTCACAACCTCGATGGGGCTGGAGCTGGCTTCGCACACCGCCCCTCGGGGCCCTCACTGGCTGCTCGGATAGCTCACGTGCTGCACATTCACGGAGGGAGGAGACAAACACATCCCTGACTTTCTTCCCTGACTCGCTCCACCTGAGTGCTGACCCCTTCCCTCCCTTCTTGCCCCTCCTCCTGCAGGCGCCACCCCACTCCTTTCTCTGGCTGGAGAACAGCAGAGAGAAATAGGCGCTATTTTCACATCAAAGGCGGCCCGCAGCCGCCGCAGCCTTGCCCCAGACACAGAAAGCTTCTCAAGCTCATAATTGCGAGGCTTTTTGCTGAGGCATCGAGGGCCTCGGAAAGCCAGAAGGTCGCGGCGAAGTCACCTTGGGAGGAAAAGAGGGTCATAGGGAAGAAGGTAGAGGGCCTGACCCGGGCAGAAGGACCACAGGGGGTGCCCTGCTTTGGGGTTAGTGAGGAAGAAGGCGGGGGATCGGAGGGCACCCCCACGGCCCTTAGGCGACCCCAGTCGCGATCTGCTGACCCGGGGAAGGGAGGAGGGTGCCCTTCCCGGTGAGACTGGAAGCTTCGCCTTCCGAGCTGGCTTCCTCCCGCCGGGCCCGGCGGTGGCTCTCTGCTTCCGAGAGCCAAGCGCTGCACAG